TTTTTTTTAAAAAAAAAAAAAAAAAAACAAACTTGAGTTTTCACTGAAAATAAATTAAAAATGAGCATCATAATGCTTGCGATGAAAATTTTAACTTATGTTAACAATCTTTTGACTTGTTAGACTTAAAGTTTCAAGAAGAAAGTATACTTGAACAACAGCCTGCAACAAGAAACTACTATTTCTGGCTCACCCACAAAAGCATCTACTGGCGCAGAAAAGCTATCGGCACGCGCTTAGTTCCTAAAGAGAGCCAAAAATAATAGTTTCCTATTTATTGCAAAATGTCGGCCGTTTGGTCGTCGTTAAACAAAAAGGACCTAAGTCACATCAGATATTGCCACATTTTATCGAAGAATTCGTATATTCTTTACAGGAGAAGGGTTAAGCGGATTCTTCCAAAAATTTCAAGAAATTTGCTTCACATCATAAATGTAATTCCTTGAAATTTTCAAAATAATCTACAATACCGTTTTTCCTATTATCCTGTAAAAAATTAAATGATCTGATGGAGATATTAACCTGAAACCTGGAATATTATTGGCCTGATGTAACTTAGCTACTTTCTGCTGAAAAGTATTTTTTGTCGCATACAAAAAAACTATGCAACAAATGTGTGTGTACAAATACACTATGTCTTTCAAAAACTTCAACCTAACTTCAAGGTGAAATTTTGGTTTGAAAATTATGATTAACGTATGTTAGACACTAATTATTTTTAGCACTGTAAAAGGACGCTATAGAAGATGGCGTTGATTAAAATCTGCATTTACGCCTCCCAGATGACATGTTCAAACTGTCCACGTTACTTCAAAGCAAAAATATGTTTTCGAATCAATTAAAATGGAGTGGACGACCAAATGGACTACATTTCGCAAGTAAGAACTATAAATTCCGGCCCGGTTTAAAAACAACGTATATGTCATTACTCTCCCTATGCACATACGTGTTTTTTCAGATGAGCCAGATTGCAGCTCCAGCTCCAAAATGCAATGTCCAGAGCAGCTCCAAATTGCAAAATGCAGTCCAAATGGAATCGGCGCCCTACAGCCAGCTCCTCACCATGTCCAAAAGAATGGGCACTGATTTTCACTTTTCACTCTAAAAAAATTTCAGTCTTTGCATTCCAAGCTCGTGGGGCTTGCATGATTTCAAACGACGCATACAGTCGCCCCGTTCCAGGACTGCAAATGCTCTCTACTTGGAACGGTCCAAATAATGTCGCAATGCTTTTCATGACTTGTCTTAGGCCAAATTAAAGAGCACAAGAGCCCTTTTCATCAAACAACTTAACAAACATTAAGCTGTTAGGACTGCACCCTTCATGAATGAGGAAGGCAAGAGGATGTATTGAAAGGCGTGGTGGAGGGTCCTTCCGGCTCCAAAACTACTCCAATCGTGTGGGTTTCCACTCTTGAATGTCATAACGTAATAATTCGATATGAATATTTGATCAGACCGTCCGAGGGCGGGAGGGTCTTCGGTCGGAAAGGCTCCAGGAAAACGGAACGGAAAAATTATGCCCTCAACCGATTTGAATAAATTATCCTGGCACGCCTCACCTGAAAATGGGAGGTCTGCCAGAGGCCCTTATTTCCAGCCCTAGGAAAGTGGGTGGACGGTGAGAAAATGGAGGAATCAGTCATATTTTAATCCCTGCCATTAGAATTGCGAAATTTTGTTTAAAAAATTTAAGAGAATGGAAGTATGTTAAAATTCCAGCCCACACTCGAATTGTTTTCTAGTTATGTTCATATAGTAGAACTTATGTAGCTGAAAAAGTGGCTGTGCACGGGAAAGTCTTGGCAAGGACCCTTATATTCCCAACCTCAGAAAAGACGAATGGTGAAAAACCAAAGAATCAGTCATTTTTCATTCATGCCAGCAAAATTGACAATTTTTTTTTCTTAAAAAATAATATTAACTTTAAATGACTTTAAACTTTTAATGATATGCTTCTGTTCATGTTGATACTTTGGTTGAAGTGTAACCGTTTACTTGAAACCGTCTTTAATTCTGAGTCTAAAATTTCTGATTTTTCAAAACAAAGTCTGAAAACCAGATTTCACATACCGTTGAAAAATTCTCTTTAGGAAGCAAGTTGGGAGCGGTTTAGTTCGTGCAGTAGAGATTTAATATTTTAGCCTTGTTTTTTACAGGGTTTCCGTTTTTATTCTGTAGTGTTCAGATTTCCGGGCTATGGGCTATGGGGTCTCCCCTCTAACGTAAGGGCATTCCTCGATTTCCGTATGAGCCCCAGAGATCATGGGATTTCTATGTAAAATAGGGCTCACATGGGCATACAACTAGCGTGCCTACATAGGGAGGGTAACGAATCATGTCGAAATATAGAACTTTTACGGTCCAGAGGGCAGTCAACCTCCTGACACAAACAATATCACTGTTAATCTTCGGAGTCCAACTTCAAACGAAGATGGCGGAGAATTTTCATAAATGAGCGTTCCTCCGCAAAAATGAGTGACTTTATACAAAAACTAAGTCAAATACGTGCTTTAAAAACGGCGGGTCGTAACAATTGTAATAATAAATCATTCTGGACAATTTCAGTCCATAGCTTGGGTGCTTTTTGGGCCCTAAAAGCTCCACGACATAACCTCAAAATTATCGACATGCCCGTTCTCAATCTACATAGGTACTCTAGAAACAACTGCTGGCGCTTCTCAGGTTTTGATTTTCCACTCTTAAAACGTGGATGGCGAGACATGAACATCCCTGGAAGGTACACGGGCACACAGAGAGGGTATGAAATAGTACTCACTGATATCGAGGGGTGTGACGTAGGGTGCGGGGGTGGCGGCAAGGAGGACGAGGAGGGCGGGGAGGGGCACCCAGCCCCGGTCCGGGCCCCGCAGCATGCTCCTACCGAAGGCCAACCCGCATACAAATCCCTGCAACAGAAACAACAGATAGCTCAGTCAATATTTGCATCGCGCCAGCTAGCGTCACCCCCTCCACCCGTTGAATTGGGTAGGGGAAGGGTACACACCGGTGGTGGCACTGCGTGAGGGATGGCAAGGTTGCCAGCGGAAGGAACTTTTTGTAAAAAGTTACGAGGACAACTAAATATAGAAAAATTTAAAGCATACCAAATCATATATATCCATTTGTGTGGTGCGAAATTTCATTGGCGGATCCAGCAATTTGGTAACAGTTTTTTTTCCCCATTTAAACCTATGGAAATGCATCGATTCTTGAAGGGGTCAGGTGCTCCGACAAAAACCGATTATTTATCATAGGTTTAAATGGAAGAAATCCTGTGTTGAAAAATTGCTGGATACGCCCCTGTGCGAAATCCATTGCGAAAACGTAAATCCTTCCTCAGCTGGTCTGAAAATGTCTGTCTAGGCAATAAATGAAAATGGAGGACTTCTCGTATAAAGCATTATTTACTAAATTTTGGACAAAGCTTAATTTCAATGAACTGTACATTGCCTGAAGCTGATGGATGCCAGCTCGGCTAGAGTGCAAGTTTGGAGTGGATTACCCCTCAGCAGATCGTTTGAAACAATACCACAAGAGATTCCGATAACACTTGACCCAAAAAGATGAGAGGAGCGATAAAACGAAGCAGAATAAGTTTTTCGTGAACGGTTTTGAGTAGGCACTTTAAGTATGAACTTCTTTTTTTGCCGGTTGGTCGCTTGAAAACATTGTTAAGTACTCGCACAAGAATGCTCGCTATCACAGCATGGGCTCAATCCAATAATTTTCTCTTTATGGAATGACGAAACCTTGAGAAAAAATGAAAGCTGCATTTTCAGTCCATTCGATAGAATGAATATCAATGTCTTTTGACCGCTTCATTTAGTTTTGGTGGAGATTCTCTGGCAACAAACTCTTTGAATACTTAGGTATTAATTTTTCTTGTGGTGTCATCATGAAGTCAAAATATCTACGGGTGTCGTCGATAACGGATCGTTCCTAGACGAATAGCGTAAGACAATGACGTTATTTTAGTCAAACTATAAAGGAAAAGGGACACCAATTGTTTGGACCGGAGAGGAATGGATTTAAGAAATCTTCAGAATTTTTCTAGGACGCGTCTAAATTTCTGAAATCAGCCGAAGTAAAATAAAATTTAAAAAAAAAAAAAATTGTATTTTTCGTTACTCCCACAGGGCTTGATTCACCTACGTGCCGCCCATGAGCCGTCTGTATTTTGCCGCCCCCTTCTCATTCGTTTTGAAACATCAATAAAAACCATCAAGTGAACGTGCCGGAAAAGGAGGAGCGTATAAGACGCTTTTACTCGTATTGGACACATTTTTTGCGAAAGCCCTGTCAACACTACACAAAAGTTCACGGAACTTTGCACAAAAGTTAAGTTCCGTAAACCTATCTCTGTGTGGACAAGGATTTTCATTTCTAAGTATTGAATGAAAAAATTATGAAAGAACAAACATAAATGTGGTTTAATAATTTTAACTTCTACCGCCGCGCCATGCTGACCGCCCTGTGTTTGACGCAATGCGTGAAGTATTCATGCAGTCTTGTAGGCGCTATGAGTTTCAAGCCGACCGCTGCTGACCGCACTGTGTTTGACGCAATGCGTGAAGTATTTTTGCAGTCTTGTAGGCGCTAATATGTGTTACATGCCGATCGCCGCGCCGAGGGCTTCTCCTTTTCATCTCAAGTCCTCGTCATCATTGCTCTCTGCGCCGCGCCGTTCCAGCCAAATTGCGTGTTTGATTTCTCTCTTAACTCGACAAGTCTCTTGTATGTGCCGAAAGACGACAATATTAGGAATTACTGTACTCTCAGGAAATAAGAGATTTTGTCGCCTTTTCTCGTTTGTAATTTTTTTTTCTGAGTCCGATTTTTCCTATACCTACATTTATAAAAATTGCAAAATTTGCCGCCATGGGCCCATCTAGCCATCCCCTAAGTCCGGCCCTGATTCCCAAAGGACATCTCTGACTTTAGTTCCCGGGAATACATATTTGAGCAGAGCGATTTTTGTGGAGTTGGTTCGAAATATTGAAATCTGATAGTTGCCAAAAATCACATTAAAGTATCCCATAAATCATGACTTCCGAGCAGTTAGTTCGTATTATACTTAATTTTACGTGGTAATAAAGTGCGCAAAGGTGCACGGAAAAACATTCCAATGTTTAAAGATTATTCAGAGCTTGAACGTTCAGTTATCTTCAAAGCAGCATGTCGTAAAATTATACAAATTAATACAAATTTCCTGAAAATTTTTGACAATTAATATACACGAGGATCATCTAGCAAGGGGAATACTGGGTGTGTTTGTAAATATAATGGATCCAATCCTCCAAATATTAAGACCTCGAGACTTCTCCAAAGGTCAAATACATTCAAAATCTTCGTAAAGTTTCAAAATTTGCCAGCTGCCCACGACATATCGTCATCTTCCGGACAAAGGATCACAAACGCCATGCGAATTTTAAAGACTTAACCATTTCTATGTGAAAAAATGAAATGGCGGCGGAAATTTTTAAACATTGTATGGCGCTTGTGATATTTTGGCCGAAGGGTGACGCCGTCCATTTTTTTTTCGATAAGAGCAGAACACCTCGGGATGCTCAGGTAACCTATTCTCTTCGTGTGAGCCAGATACGATGGGTGAAATGTTTAACCCAGACTTTACTGTCCTGCTACGGAAAAACACCATATAAACATTCGAGAGTTGCCAAATTCCCTCCAATAAAATTTTTAATTTTACGGAGACTTACAAATATATCCTTTTAAAATTTTCAGATAATTCAGATCTGATTGGTAATCAAATTCTCTGAAAAATCGGAGGAATAATATGCATATATTTTATTGAAAAATCATAATTTATCAAAGGAGATTTGTCAACGGTGTACAGCTCATACGGCGTTCTTCCTTAGCACGGCAGCATACGTGCGAGAGATTGCGGAAAAATTAGAGCCCGGTGCACGGGACAAAATTATGCTCTCCTTTCCCGGCGAAGCGTCACAAAGCGCAATTATATTTGTTCGGCGGAAAAGCGGGCTCGCAGATCATATTTACATACGCTGGGAACAGGAGCCGGTCGCAAAGTTGGCGGGCGAGGAGAGAGGTTAGGTGGACAAAGGACCGGGCCCGGGCTGGGAAAGTGACCTCAACCACGCTCACGAGAACCCAGACCTGGAGACGTTAAGTGGACAGCGAAAATACGACCGAAAATACTCGAATACACGCTTATGAGTTGCCAAATGGACCGAGTGAAGCTGAGAGAGGGACAGAGTAGTTTAATGGAAAAAAACGGGGACATTGAACCCCGAAGACCCTTAGGATTCCGAAAAAAGGCAAAGGCGGGTTACTTCGGATGAGAGAAAATTGGGTCGTGTCTGGCAAAAAGAAACCAAGCCACATCCGCTTTTACCAAATTTAACTAGGCAATATCATTGTTTCCCCGTAAACGTTGGTGCGGAATCCTTTGAAAATTTTACGGCATTTGCTTCGCACTATGTGGAAAATTCCCTGAAATTTGCACAAAAATCCGCTCGACCGTTTTCGCGTGAAAAATTAAATTGCCTAATTATATTTGGAAATAGCTGATGTGGCTTGGTTTCTTTCTGCTTAGCGCGGTCTAGTTGTTACCAGCTATTAGCTTGAGGTCAGTTGCACTGTCAGTCAGAGCAGGGCAAGAACAGCGGCCATAATGGAAGTAATTCTATCAAACGGAACTATGTGCATTACGACGTGAGCCCTGTTATGCGTGTATTCTTATGGGTCTCAGGGCTCATGTCTCAATGCACATAGTTCCGTTTGATAGAATACGTCCAATTTTTGGAGGGTTTAAAGCAGCCTTACGAAGCCACCCCCATGACTGACTCATTATCCTTTGAGTATCCACATTCTCCCAGATGCAGTACTGGTTCGTATAACTATTCAGAAATATTACTTAAGTGGAGACGTTGTAATAGACCGGTTAAATATTGGATCATTAGATCCCTAAAACGTCTCGGCCATTTAATATTGATATTAAACTAAAGAGGCCGAGCAGAATACGGGTCTGAAAATGTGAGTAGAAACGGTTTGAATGGTGTGTTCGCTCACTTGAAGATCACTGCCATAAATGTTAATGAGAATCTTGCAATGATGAATTTTAGTATTTATTAAATCTAACTTTCTCCGTTCATAATGGTGCAGCTCAATGAACGTGGACTGAGCTGGAATATTTAGTAACAATATCTTTTGGCAAATCATCAACATTTATACCTCAAATAACGACCGGAGGCAAAATATTGACCTCACTCTATTCCACCTCCAATTGGGCAGGTGACTACCCCCCCCCCCCCGCCCACCTGGGCCAAAAAGCCTTTTCTCGTGACACAACAGCGCGGAACTCGGCGGCGGCCCAACTGTTCGTAATTAGAGTTGATTGCAATTATGAAGGGCTGGAGGTAATTAATCGTTTATTTATTTACAAAGTTGAGACCAAGCTGTCCACCATTAGGCCAACGCGACGCAAAGGAGGCCAAAGCTCCGGCTTATGTTGTCCGTCTTCCCCAATAAGCGGGCATTATACTGTCATATAGACCGTTGCCAGATTTCCCGAGAGTTGTCTGAGATTTGGAGCTGAGCAAGGATCGTTATCGAAGTAACTCAGAAAGTAACTCAAAGCGCATTTAGAATGAATTTCTTAAAGGTCTCGTGCGCGCCTTCAGAGTGGATTCATGACGATGTTTTCTGGACATATAGAAATAACGTTTTAGGAACTATACCGTTGTCTGAAACTTTTCTCAAGAAGGCAAATTTAGAAATATTAAAATGCTTTTTGTAATGTTCTCTAGTAAACTTATACTTGGCGGGTGAAAATTTTGCGTCGTTGAGAAATGGTAACGTCATTTCTCCTGTCAAAAGACGGATTCTACCTTACCGGTCCCAAGACAATAAAATGCTAACTCCAAAC